CTTTTCCCCAAAGGAAGCAAGTCATGCTTATCTTACATTACCAGACCATTACTGGAAGTACTATGCCAGACCCTCAGCTGGCATAAATCAACATGACCCTATTCACTTCAGTGCAGCTGTGTTGATTTATGTGAGCTGAAAAGTATGTACTGGTCAAAAAGTGACTATTTCATCTTACAAAACTGTAAAAATGATTAAGTGAAATGCAAAGCAAATCAAATGAAAGGCAGTATGTATCATATAAAGAAAATAATAGAAAGGAAAGTACTACAGAAAGGCTCAAAGTAGATGTATATTTTATTAAGATTAGTCTAACATTGCCACTAATTTTTCTTCATTTGAAATTTTAGATAATAGTTTCTGCTGTTACATACACATGTATCTCTTGAGTATGGACACAAGAACTTGTGCAATTTAATAACACTGTACTATTCCCAAATTAAGATGTAAGGCTCAGGCAGTGGGTTCAGCCAACCTGGAATTTATCACTGGTGTTTTTGTATAAAGTCACTCTGACTGTCAGAACATGAAACATCATACTTAAAAGAAAGCCCACACAGCAAACTTAAGTGCTCAGCTTTACAGTATGGCATCACATCTTAAGAACTACTCCTATTACAGTCTTTCTCTCATAGAACAAGATAAAAGTAGAAAACCAAATGTTCTCAAAGCCAAGACTTCTTTCAAGTCTTTGTGATTTTGAGGAATATGAAACCTCTCATATTAGACTTAAGCATTCTTTACCCTTATGAACTCTGTGTAGACTTCCTTATTATTATACAGGCTACATGAGATTAACTACTGGTGCTCCTTTCTGAGTTTAAACTGGAAGGCTCAGAAGAAGAACTAGCATTCTGAAATAAGAGGTGTATATTCCTAAACTCTTTTCACAGAGAAGCAGTTCTTGAGATTAGATAGTTCTCATTTTCACTAGGTTTGTGTATTGCTGCCCCTACAGTACAATATCAGAACACAATATAAAGAGCAATTGTGACAGATGCACTTGACTCCCTTAACCAAACTAGCAATAAATTAGTTCAGGCTCCAAAGGAGGTAAAGGCCTAAGCTGCAGCCAGGTAAAGAACTCATCCAGGAAACCCACAAATGGCCAGAGTGATCCACAGTGCATCAACGCACATGAGCTTGAACACATGAATAGTGGGTGGTTTTTCCAAGATTCAGCTATGAAGGAACAAAGAAAGTTGTAGGTACAAAGAATCGCTTGCATACCTTTCCCATCACATGTAATTTGACTACAAGCCAACCCCTTTATCCCATAAAGATGAGAGCCTAAATGAGCCTTCTTTGAGGTCTCCCTGCTAGGCAATGTGGCAGTGCTCTCCTTGAGTTGGGACACCTCTCAAGGTTGCCCCTTGAGCCAGAGAGACCTTTCTACTCATGACAGGCCTTTGGATAAGTCCAGTTTGAGTTCTCTCTAAATTGCAACTGGACTTCATGGCAGTACCTCTCCCCTTGATCTGGGATCCATCTCAAGGTTTGAGATTCCTTGCCTGGGACTGAGGGATCCTTCATTACCCGAGGTGGAGAGATCCTTTATATCAAGCATGATGTTCAGGAAGTTGCAGAGCATGCTAATTCATTAATACTAATGAAAAAATGAAAGAATTAATTCCTTTAGACATAAAATATTGTACATATGTCTGAGAATGAGATTGTAACTACCTGCACTTAAGTTCCATGAGGAGTTTAGAAAGCAAGGAGGTGTACCCTGAACCTCATGACTCAGTGGGTCTCCCTTACACTTTAGTGCTTTCCGTTTCTGTGCAAATCATTCTAAATTGATTCTAACTCAATTTTCCTTTGTATTTTTTCACTCACGTAGTAAGAGTGAATCTTGCCATCAAACTTTGTTAAGCCACACTTTTATAAATTCATATTAAAACTATTTTTGTTGCTTTGAGGGTGATTCTTTGAGTGACCCTAAACCACAATACAGATCATGAAGCAAACCCTTTACAATTGTCTATTCAATTCCACATCAGTTACCAGCTGCTAAAAGCCACTTGGTAGACAACTGCAATTCACCATCCTTCACCATGAGCACTGGTACTTCAAATACAAATACTTCTGTATTTGATCATAGTCCACAATTCAGCCTGCAAAGTTCAAAAAATGCAATTTGTTTATCCTTAACAGTGCTTTACAATGTAGAATACCTCATGGATCCCTGCCAACAAGAAATACTCGGATTTGTCTCTTTACAATATTTTCCTATAAATACATTCACTGTAGGAAGCCTACAGAAATTTTCAAAAGTATGGCTAACACTTTAGATATGCACTGCTTGCCAGGACTGATCATCAAATCACAGAATGTTAAAGGGTTGAAATGGACCTTAAAGATCATCTAGCTTTAACCCCACTTGCCATGGGTAGGGACACCTCCCACTAGACCAGGTTGCTCAAAGCCTTTTCCAAGCTAGATTTGAACACTGCCAAGTCTGGAGCATCCACAACTTCCCTGACTAGCCTGTTCCATGTCTAACCATCCTCTTCGTAATATCTAACAACCATTTCTTCTTAATATCTAAACTTCTCCCCTTTCAATTTGTACCAGTTACTCCTTGTCCTGTCACTATAGTTCCTGATGAAGAGTGTTTCTCTGGCTTCCCTGTTGCTCCCCTTCAGATACTGGAAAGTTGCTAGGAGATCTCCATGCAACCTCTTCTCCAGGCCCAGCTTTCCCAGCCTATCTTCATAAGGGTGATGCTCCAGTCCTCTTATGAACTTCATTGGCCCTCTTCTGCACTTGCTGCAACAGTTCCATGTCCTTTGATCTACTCTGCAACTCAGCAAACTACATTGCCACAAAATTCTGCTCTTCTCTGACTCCTGGGCATTAGGTTTTGTGTAGATGACATGCACATAGTGTCACAATAAATAGGATGTTGTATTTGATCCATTCAGTGTAAAGCTAAACCAACTGGAATAACGGTATGTAATACTGGAACAAAATATGTGTTGGTTTATTTAGGTATTTCCAATCTTTGAAATCAGTAGAAAAAAAAAAGGCCAAACCATAAGGCATTTTAAAATTTTTGCATAGGAATTAGATATCGCAGTTAAATCCTCCTTTTCTCCCAAAGTGCCTTTCTAGTCTTCAAAAGTATTAGGAAAGTGACGAATGGCTATCAAGAAACAATCTCAAAATTACTTTTCTTCCACTTTCTTACCTGTACAGTTTTTCAGACTTTCTACCATTAAAACACTATGCAAATGGCACTAGCCTGTGGTTACAGTTGCTTTCATGGCATATACTCCTGCTAAGGTAAACAGAGGATTTCTAGGACAAGATTCCTCTTCATGGCATAAGGGGCTTAAAACTGCACCCAGCACATTCACACAATGAAAAGTACAGCCCGAGGCTTCAAAGCACAAACTTGGATTCTCCACAGGGACATTAAATGTGTTGAAAGGGACTTTGGATCGGTAACTACATTGCAGCAGTGTCACAGCAGGAACAAATGTCAGAGGAATCAAAATAGCAGTGAGTACTGAAGTTTTCCTCCTTCAAAATGGCAGAAGTCTACAGAGAAGCAGCACAAATGGTAAATGAATTTGCATAATTTCCATCTCGTCTTGTAGCTCCTTAGTGTTACTAGAAATCATGCCAAGCAAATAAATATTAGTTATTGCATATTCTCTCACTCTTCGTGTTGGTCAGAATGTTTTAATTACACAATAATAACTCAGAGCAATTTGGACATCAGTTTACAGCACACTAAGAATATACCTTGGTAGACTCTTTACTAGAAAGCAAAGTATTAGGGCTTCTAAATGAAACAATGCAGTAAATTTGATTCTCTTTTAATTTTGAACTTGTGCTGTCATTTGCTTCAGTGAAGTGATGCACCAGCTTCTACCACCAAATATTTGATGCACCATTTACTGTAAATGTTGCCTACCCAGTGTATGATGAGGTTTCACAGCTGTGACTTCCAAAGACTGAAATCAATATTTAAATCCTATTGACATCAACTCCTTTTTTCTCTTTTTTTTTTTCCTTTCCCGTCACCCCCTACCCCACCACTTTTAAACAGAGTTACAATTATGGTCTATTTTACATTTGTAAGTATGATTAAAATTTTGTGCCAGGCTATAATTTATATAATTGCATTCCTGTAAAACTTGAATTTATTTTTCATTTAGAAACAGACCACAACAAAAGGCCTCTGCACTGAGAATCCAGTTTTCTGTTTTAATATAGAAGTTTAATTTTAGAGTGTTTTCTACAGTCACAGTACTTAAAGGGTAGAGGAAACTGTCATTGTAAAAGACTTATAATCAACCATGGATTCTTGCTCAAAATACCAGCATTAATTGTTCATAAAGTACTGTAAGTGGAAAAGGGATGATTAAATGGAATTTAAGCTGCATTGCTATTAAGGATTAAACTGAAAGGCATTTTGAAGCCATGTGTTAAAAGCCGTCTAGTCAGAAGCTATGGGCTATAATTCAAATTTTTTTCAAAATACCAGGCTGTACTCATTAGTATTTTGAATTTAGAGCATCTATTATTTCTGTCTCTCAATTTGACATTTATATGCAAATAAAAATCTTCAGCATATGTCACACCTGAAATTGCATCTGTTTATGTAGTCACCCAACTAAATGTTTAGAAAACTTGCCTTTTTTAATGTGTCTTTTTAACATTTTAGCCTTAACTTATTATCAAGAGGGAAAGAGAACACAGGGACGTTATGTTATTGCAATATGTCTCTTTTGATACACAAAGTTAGGTACACAAGCCTCCCTTCGGCATCAGAGGGCTACAAAATGGAATATGAAGCTCAAAAGAGAAAGCTGCTGTTCTGTAGGCTCTGCCAGAAGTGCTACATTAAATGCCATGAGTAGGCTACAAGTCATGGTACCCTCCCCATGGAATTCTGGCAAGTTTAAATGAAACCTGTGGATATGTTGTTCCAGTTTTCTGACCAGATGTATGCAAAATTGGAAAGAGGTTCACATGGATTTTCTAACCTCTCCTGGGGCTTTCATGATTGAAGAGGATGCCGTTCACAGCAAAGAGATTGTAGGCTTCTCTGAAGTTCACCACAATCCAGTAGGCATACAGTTTTGCTGCCCCTACAAAAATAATTTTGAAGCATTATTATACATCAGCTAAGCTTGTACACAGCTCAGACACACACACTCATACACATCTATTTCACATATAGGTTGAAGTCCACCTTTCCAACAGCAGAGTGCTTTAGAATTTGGTTAATTCCCTATATATGTCAAATTTTATATGGAAAAAAATCCAACCCAATAAACAGCAGCTGACAGGGAAAATACTCATCTTCTGTGCAGCCTCAGAGCTGGCTAGAAAGCATTAGGGCAGCCTCTTACTTGTTTTCTTATGCACACTCAAGCACAGCAGTCTTTCTTTTACAGTATAATTAACACAGAGCGTGTGAAATACACCACTGTGGTGACCTCTGCTAATAAAAAAAAACAAAATAAAAATTACTTTGAAGGAATAAAAGCGAAAATCTGGTGCCTTAACACTTAAATTGATTTGAAACTTTATCACCAAAGTCCTCCATGCCCACTGCTTTAATAAGTGTTTCAAATTTCATGCGATTTCATGAAGGAAGAAGTGAGCTCTTGGGAGTTTTTCATTTAGGCAACAAAAAGTATGAAACCTTATCACTTCAGCCATACCTCACAATCCTTTGTGAAGGAAGAGTCACCCTGCCTCTTCCAGCACCCCCCACCTCCCTCTTCAAGAGCTCTTCACCTCTGAGCTGAATGAACAAGGTCTTGTGAAGTGAGATGCTAATTTCCAACCCCCAGGCAATGGCAGCAAATACTTTTTATATAGTAATTCATAAAGGTATGCCTCTCGACATGTCTAGTCACTTTAGCTCTATCATCATTCTAATCTCACTCACAAATGACTTCAGCCTTGAGACATGAGCAGGGAGAATAGACAGACAGACACTACACACACACACCCCCCATCAGCAATCCTCACCGTAAGGCGATCTTGGGTAAAAAGGGGTGGTCTCCTTTTGCGGGATTTCTTGCACTTTTCCAAAAAGTTCACTGGTGGAGGCTTGGTAGAACTTCACAGAGTTGATAAGGCCACAGGTCTTAATAGCATCTAGGAGCCGTAAGGTGCCAACCCCATCAACGTCAGCAGTATATTCTGCTAGGTCGAAAGAAATCTTGGGGAGAGAAAGAAATAAAACCCCACTAATTTTACTAGGGGGACCAGAACATGCTGTGAACATGCACAGCCAAACAAAGTAATATATATATTAATATGTAATATAATACATCACTTGTCACTGACCATCTAGACACTTTTGTACAGAGTAGATACTCAGAATACAAAAGTATCCTCAAAAGACTTCCAAGAATAAATAAGTAGTTCCATAAAGAGCAGAACAAAAAAACTAGTGTTCCTTGGGATTATTTTCCCATGTGAAGTAAGGCGTAAGCCTCCCCACAGTGGGAACATTATCAGGCACTGTTATCTCCACAGCTGCCAATTTTCACAACATTCACTTGGGCTTAGCATATTTGACACACTTCAATTTGGTTATAATTGCCCAAAATATATTTAAAAAAATAATAGGCTAGACAGACAGCATGACAGCAAAAAAATGTATCAAAAAACCCCCAAAATTTTAAACAACATCCAAAGTTGTGCAATATGAACATACATCAAAGTTCAGAGAAGACTGGAAATATCTGCTATCAAATGAGACTACCAATCCCACTTGGCCAAGGTGTACCAGAGCTGTTGCTTTTGGACAGAGGTTGGGGGGATGATGACGTGTGAGAGCAAAGGGTGGAGGTATCCTAAAGAAACCCGACATCTTGAACTGACATATTCTTCAAAGTATAATAATAAACTCATGCATGCTGGTGGGCCAAGAGTCCTTTTTCTCTCCCCACTCCAGTTTTTCTCAGTTATCTTTATGAAGAGCTTGTGGCCTGTGCCACAATCAATGCTAAAATCTTAGCTTTCAGAGTATCTAAAAAATAAATTAATTATTTTCCTTTCTGTTACAGCAGAAAAAAAAGGAAAAAGCAAGCTGAAGGTAAGAGATGTGTTATGACCACCTCAATTTGCAGGCAGGAGAAACCATGCTCAGAAGGAAGCTCACATTTTTGATTGGTAGGTACAGGCTGGTTTTTTGGATGTTCAGGCAAAGCTCCTGGACTCCAAGGAATTTTTTCCCACCAGTTCCCATCCCAGAGGCATGTCTCTCTCTCTACATTCTCTCTCCAATCCAGGGATTTTGCTTATGTCAGATTTAGAAAAATTTTCCCTGTTTATACTGACAATGTCATAAAAAGTAAGGGGAATAGACTTTTAGAGCAATCTCCTTCATGAACTCGACCCAAAGAATTATTCTACCTATATCCCCTCTGGCTGATGATTGACTTCCAGTAACGAGCTCTAGAGTGATGGCAACATTGCAGTCTCTTTATACAGTCTATGCTGGATGTTAGTGAGACACTACCAATATCAGATAGTACAGATGTACAATATCCCCTTCATTAGTCTTCAGTGACAGGGTAGCTACTAACGGAGTGGAGAGTAAATGACCATAGTTGGACAAGTTGAGGTGTCACAGTGAAACCAGTGGGAAACCTGTCACTTATTAGGTAGTTTTGTAGGATCTTTGCAGATTCAGACAGATAGCCCTATATTAATTTCTTTTGTTAAGCCATTTTCTCTATTCAGTAATTACCAGAAGTTTAAGGCTTATTTATACAGCAGATGGAAAAAAAAAATCAATTAATTTGAGTTTTCACTTTTGGTTAATTTAACACAGGTATGAAATTATCTGAATTGTGTTCCTGTTCTCCAAAATAAAAAGGTTCTCCCAGAGTTTTAATCTGAAATAGCTAACACTACGAACAAAAGCAAACCTTACTTTTTTTTTTTTTTTTTTTAAACGAAAAAGAAAGGAAACCCAAAAAACGAAACCTGATACTTTGGCTTGTTAACCTGCTATGACCCAGCTGAAACTGAGCACTGATCTACCAAGAAGTGATGTGCATTTTTTGTTTTAATCCATTTGGCACAAAGATGACAGACACTTAAGATCTCTCAGCTTCAGTGTATAAGTAACATCTTAGGAAAACATCTTAAAGAACACGGTGATACAGTCAACAGTGCACTAAGGAACATAAATTAGTATATTACCATATGTCCCAGCTTTCCAACGAAAGGCAAAACACATACTTATTGTAGCAGAACCAAGAATTTACTTATATTAAGGTACCGTTTCCAACAAATAACCTGCTAAAAAAATCACTCTGAAATGCAAATCTTTGCTTACATATCCTACTACAAAGTAAATGGCACATGTAACTGAGCTAGTCTAAGAGATCACAGATTATAAAACCTCTTAACCAGAGGGGGCAATGAGGCTGCAGCAGCACTGGGAAATGCTCTGCCTGGCTGATGCAGAGACCAGTTTCACAAGAGATGCTTTTCCCTATTGCCTGATGAATGACCTCAATCTTCACCTACAAAAAACACTCCCTGGGGTGTGAGGTAATTGTGCCTCCATGCCTACTGGGTCTGAGTGTCCCCAGGCAAAAACCACCAGTTTTGTGTCTGCTGGGTGATTTTGTAATGCAGACAGTTGTTCACCAGGGTCAGGATTCAGACAACTAAACTCATTTCATTTTGGAGTGCAGGTTAGACAAGAACGGCATTCATGAAAATAAAAAATGGTTTTATCTACTAAAACGTTGACTGTTAAGATATCCTGTAACAACAGGCAGTCACATTGCAAATAGAGATAAAAACAAACAAAATTTTAATTTGATTCTAATTCAAAGTTAAAAATGCAAACGAGTTTTATAAAATACAAGATCAATTAAGTAGTTTCAAATGAAGAAGGGCAGAGTAGGAAAAGGTGATAAGTTATCCCTTACCATCTTATTTCCCTCTCTTTATACACATTATTTTGTTCAAGACCCACAGAAAGGCTAAAGAGTAAAAAAAAAACCAAAGCCAAACCCCAAAACAAACAACCCCCACACTCCAACCCCCTCCCCCCAAAAAAACCCCAAACAACAAAAAAAGGCAGGGACCTCATTGAGAGGGATGTGCAAGAGAGAACAGACATGCATGCATAACACAAGGAAAGACTGAATTATAGAAACAAATTATAGAATCAGATTGAACAGACGTTACTCATAGAAATAATCTCTGCTGGTGCACTGAGCTCCAGTAGTGAAACTACCTGAGAGAGTAGATATGTCACGGAAACGATTGTAAAGGCAGGTGTATGAAGGCTAAGAACAAGTCATACTTATGAAAGATTAAAACACTTACTCATTGGAAAAAAGAGCTTAGCTAATACCCACAGATGAGAGTTTTCCAACTGCCTACTTTATGACAACTTTCTTAAGTGCCTGAATTACAAAGATCGTCTTCCTGTACACCAATAAAGACAGTGGTGAGTCACAGCAGAAGGCCTAATGGAAATGCTCTTGATCCTGCTTTGGAGAAACTATAAACACACTCCTTTATTAATTTAGCTACCTAAAATAGATGACCCATTCCTCCCTCAAAAATCCAAAATTATCCATTACTGTCAACTCCTAAAAGCAAGATCTTGTTTTGAAGGAAATGCCAGAACTTTTTGTAATGACTGGAATACAGAAAAGAAGCTTCTTTGAATGGTAGAAACTTTAAATCTGAAAGTTTTCTCAAAGAATATTGAAGTCCTGGATCCAAAACTTCTTTGGCCTCTTTGGACAGACTTTGTGACAAAGAGAAAGGATGATATACCAACAAAACAGCAATTGCCTACTTGGAACATGTTAGTCTGCGTGACTTTGGCACTCCCTTCTCATGCATAATGGGGACAGCATGCTTTTGCACTTGTCATTATTGATCTCTGGAGATATGGTAAAGTATATTCTTCAGATATGTCTATTTATTCCATTCAATAGGTAGTGATAAGTGTGTCATTAAAGGTGGACAGAACAATAAGGAGACACTTAAATCCTTGGTAAAAAGTACTTCAAGTTCCAGGTTTTCACATTATAAACACCACGCAGAATTCCCTCAAGGAATACTAAAATGCAAACAGACTCCTTATGTACAAAGGAATTCTATATACTGAGTATCTTCACAGCCAGATTCATCCCTAATATAGTACATTTCAAATATATTCTCAGGCAAGGAAAGATTTTCACAGCAAGGCTTACTCATAGGATGGCAACATTTTCTTGAAAGAAGCATAGTTTCATTAGTTGTAACACTTTGGAATCACAGGACACAGTATGAATACACTGAACCACATTATGTCTCTTCTTTCATGTGGCTACAATCAGAATGAGTTTTGTGAACTTGTTTCTACCTTTTGAATTTGAACTCTTGTATTTCCTCCCTCCCATTTCTTTATAATCACCAGATTCAATCTCTACAAGAGATTTGAATTTAATAGAGCAATGTTTTAAATATGATGTTTCCCAACTGATCATTCAAAACCAAGCTTAGTAAGATCTTTAACAAGATTTAAAAGCTTACTGAAAATTATCTAAATGAAAACATATGGGTCTTACCCTCCACAAGACCACATTCCTATCATGTCTACAAACACTACATACAAGACTGTAGACTTAATAATACTTGCTTCTGAGCAGTGCATTGTCAGCACTGGTGATATTCTGAAAATTATCAAACACAGGTTTGGCTTTGTGAGATACTTCATCTCTCTTTAGTGATTTGGAACAATCCAACAAATGGGCTGCAGTCATAATTAACTATCAGTTTTCAAACATCAAAAAAAAAAGTGTATGCTAGCAGAATATGCTTCAGTGCTCTACCTAAGGAATATAAATAATGATTTGAAATTTCATCTCTTTCTTACAGCTTTCTCAGTTTCAGAGAAGGCTGGTGTAAGTAAGAGGGAAGGTTATGTGAAGCCCCAAAAGAAATTAGGATAATATAAACATAAATTATTATTCTTTCACTGTAAAAGGAAGGGTGGCTAACCTAACTATAACATCAAAATAAGCATCTTTTCTCCCTTGAAAAAACCTATTGTACATTCTTGAGATTTATCAAAGTAGAAGATATGTATTGGGTCATTGAGAAAGGTTTAGACCTGAAAAGCAAATCACAGAGCAAAAAAACTGCTCAGAAATTTTTCAAGTCTCACAAGCTTCACAGCGGTTACTTTTT